CCTTGTCTTTGTCCCCCGTATTTGTTCCTCATCACTTGAACCCATAGGGTCGAATCTCCCGTAGCTAGCTTCCAAGCTCCTTTGGCTAGCATTGCTTGGTTAGCCAGCTTGGTCGGTCTGATTCCAACGCCTCCTTGGTCCTTAGGAAGAGTGAGTTGTTCCCACCCAACCGGGTGGAACTTCGTTTGACCTTCCTCCTCTCCCCAAACGAACCGGCGGTTTATCCTGTCAATATTATTGCAAACAGAAACAGGTAACCGTTCTGTGAACATAGGATATATAGACATGGAGGAAGAGATCGATTTCACCAGGGTAATCCGAGCCGCTGTTGATAAATGATTAGCCTTCCAGGTTGCCAATTTGTTTTGGATTTTTAGCAGGAGCTGATGATATCTTTCTTTGGTGACCTTGCCATTGATGGCTGAAATTCCCAAGTACCGGCCAAGATCATTGGTGAGGCTTATTCCAGCCCTTGCGCTCAGTCTCTGGGCCTTGTCTCTATGCACGTTGGGTGAAACAAACATAGCCGATTTGTGGAGGTTGACTTTTTGGCCAGAGCTTAAGCAGAAGTCCTCCAAGCACGATCGAATAACATCGATCTGTCCACCCTCCGCTTCTGCAAACAAAATCAAGTCATCAGCAAAAAATAAGTGTGAGAGCTTTGGCCCATCTTTTGAAAGAGGGATAGGTTTCCAAAGCTTCTCCTCAACAGCTTGTTCAATGCGATGAGCTAATCTCTCCATACAAAGCACAAATAAGAAGGAGGAAAGAGGATCTCCCTGACGAACTCCTCTTGAGGGTTTGATCACAGAGGTGAGCTCTCCATTCTAGTTGATTCTCATTTGATTCTTTTCTACACATGTCATAATTCTGTTAATCCATGTGCTAGGTAATCCGATCTCGCCCAGAGTGTCTCGCAGGAAGCCCTAGTGGAGACGATCATAAGCCTTTTCAAGGTCGATTTTGATAACAATGCCTCCTCGCTTTCCTTTTCTGTTTCTGAGAGAGTGTAAAGTTTCTTGCAGCAAGAGAATGTTATCGTTAGTCTGCCTTCCTCTGATAAACCCACTTTGAGTAGGAGCTACCAACTTCGGCATCAAAGGCTTGAGTCTATTAGCCATAGCCTTGGTGATAGCTTTTAGAGCTACATTGTTAAGGCTAATAGGTCTGAAGTGCGCCGGAGTTTCAGGATGATCAATCTTAGGGATGAGAACAACTGATGAATCCATTAACTCTTCCGGAATGCTGCCAGTTTCGAAGAAGTTCGTAGCCATCACAGTAAGATTTTTCCCCACCAAAGACCAGAATTTTTGATAAAACACCGCCTGGAATCCATCCGGACCGGGAGCAGACATAGGTTTCATCTCAAATATGGCCCTATGGAAGTTCGAGATGATAAAAGGCCTAAGGAGTTCCATTAATTCTTCTTGCTGCAAGCGGGGAAATCTACCCTTCGGCATCAAATCTTCATACAACCCTTCTTCCTGCGTGTACAGATAAGTGTAGAATTGAAGCACCATATTCCTGAGGCTTTCCTGATTGTCTATCCATTCTCCGTTTTCATTTCGCAGAGCAAGAATCTTTTTCCTTCTACGCCTTCTAGTAGCCTGTTGATGAAAGAAAGAAGTATTCTGTTCCCCTAATTTCACCCATTTTTCATTAGCCCGCTGGAACCAGAATACTTCTTCCTGAGCGAGGATGAGGTCCAACTCCTTTTCTAATTTGACCTGCAGTTTCAGTAAACCTGGATAGAAAGTATTAGCAAGTCTCTCTGTAACTCCTTGTAATCTAGCAATTAATCTCCTTTTTTTGCGATGAGTGGAACCAAACACATCCTTTTTCCATTGCTGAAGCTTGTCTGCCATATCCTTGAGAGAGTTGGGCAGGGGGGCTTCTTTATTCCAACTCTTGTCAAGAAACTCGCCCAGCTGCGGATGAAGCAACCACGCTGCTTCAAAGCGAAATTTGCTCGAGTTAACCGCTGCTTGCTGTCCGACGAAACTGGTAAGAATAGGCAGATGATCTGAATGCAATTTAGAGAGGTGTTGCACCTCAGTGTTGGGGAAATTTAAAAACCAGCCATCGTTGCATAGGGTCCTGTCTATTCGACTGGCTTTGCGAGTTGCTGCTGAATCTCCTCTGAACCAAGTAAAACGGGGTCCCGAAAACCCCATGTCAGTCAAAAGAGCCTCATTAATCCAACCAGTAAACCTTTGGCATCTCCGAAGGTCTCCCACTGAGCTAGCTCTGGATTTATCATCCGGAGAGGAGATGGCGTTGAAATCTCCAGTAACTAGCCAGGGAAGATCCCCATTTTTGCTGAACTGAATAAGTTGCTGCCAGAGGAGGGAATGGAACTTGTAGTTGGGGCTGGCATACACGCTTGTTAAGAACCAGTCTGGATGATTGGATTTTGAAACTTTGACAGTAAGGTGTTGCATACTCGCTTCGATGGGCATCACTTGAAAATCATCCGACTTCCAAGCAAGCCAGATCCCCCCTGATCTGCCATTAGCGTCCACCCGAATGACCTCGTCGTAACCCAACTTACTGCAAACCGTGTTGGCGCGATCGCCGCTAATTTGAGGTTCAAGGATGATCAGAAAGTCAGGTTTATGCACCTCCTTAAGAAGACGAATAGCTCGAATGAATTTTTTTCCCCCTGCACCACAAACGTTCCAAGACAAGATTTTGAAGTTAGTTTGATAAATCATGGAAAATAAAAGGCTTAAAGAAAAGGAAGAGGGGAAGGATCAGATAGAGCGCGGCTGCTCGATTGAATTAGGCGTCGTTGCTTCTGAGTCCTTGTCGCGGAGCGGCGTATTTGCAGCTTCACCCGCAGCGGACTCGACCATTGCCTCATCTTCAGCTATCTTCTTGGAAATGCAACCAGTGTGCTCGCTCTTCTTTTGAGCTGTAACACAGAACTCCTCAATCGCCTGCAGAGAGATTGGTAAAGAGGTTGGAATTTGTTTCAACTGGCGTTCTTTCTTTCCGGGGCTGCGAATCTGAAGCGTCTTCTTAGAAGCTTTGAGGTTAACTCCTTTGGGTAGAGGGGTTTGATCCGCTGTCTTTCTCTTGTAATGATGTCGAACAGAGGACTCTCTCTTATTAGGATCTCTATTTTCTTTTTGTTGAAGTTGCAGATCAGGTACATTCAGAATCTGAATTTTGGTCTTGTTTGGGCCAGCAATAACTTGTGGTTGCAGAGCGGGCTGTTGATTGGGTGATTGGGCTTCCTCTGGACTGGATTCCATGGGCCCTTTGCTTGATGAAGCTTCTTTTGTATTCAGCCCAACGGGACGCCACACTTTTGAAGTAGCCGTTGCTTTAACGTCTCCAGACTGTTTAGAATCCACCTCTTTCCCCTTTTGATTTCCCTGCTTACTATGTTTAGCCCCTTTCTGCTGATCTTGCTTCCCTTTGCTTTCCCCGATTGTGTTAGATTGCTCGACAATACTCTTTCCTTTCACGGGGTTGCTATCTCTGGGTAATGGTAATTCTTGCTTCTTTCCTTTATTAGTACCCGGATTTGATGCTGATGAAGTTGTGGGTTTCCCGTTTTGACGACGGGTTTTGCGGACGACCTGCATCCATGGCCCGTACCCTGCTGGTGTTTCCGATGTCTCGGCCGCCGACGAGCTCACTGTTTGTTCAGCTTGATTCGCCGGAACTAGGAGAAGTGGTGGTCTCTTCGTGGGGCAGTCTTTCTCAGTATGACCAATTCTCCCGCATTCATAGCATATAGTCGGTATGTTCTCATATAGCACCTGTTGCCATACACCGTCAAGCCGTACCCGAGTGGGAAGTGGCTTGGTCATGTCCAGATCAATGGCTATGCGAGAAAATTTACCCCTTTCTAGGTTCTCGGTGGGATGGTAGCCTTTTCCGAGGGTAATATGCTCTCGAATTCTCTGAACGCACTCCCTTCTCCTTCTCATCCGGCGGCGACTCTAGAATTCTCAGGGCGACCACCGGATTTCCCCCTGACTGCAACAGGGGGCAAAACTGATGGTGTTATCAGCTCTAATGCAGGATCTCTCAATTTCAAGGCAGCTCTTGCAGGAACCAATCAAGAAACTTCAAGGAAAGCTCCTCAATGGACCTTCGTAGGTGAAGGAGACATAGAGACGGGCTTATTTCAGGGGGAACCAGAACTAAGGCTATCAGGAAAATTCAAAGAGAAACTATGCCAACCCTGGAAGAAAACTCTTATCGTGCGACTGCTTGGCCGCTCCATCACCTACTCATATCTATGCTCCCAACTACGATGGAAATGGAAACCGGTAGGATCTCTGGAAATTTTGGATCTGAACAACGATACATTCTTGGCAACCTTTGGCGATGATCAAGACTACTTGAAGGCCCTCACAGGTGGGCCATGGGTCATTCTCGACCACTACTTAGTGGTTCACCAATGGTCGCCCTCATTTCGTACTTCTGATAAACCACATAAATCAGTGGTTGCTTGGGTTCAGTTTCCGGAGTTGCCGGTTCATTACTATCATTCCTTTAGATAATTACGAACATAAAATGGCAAAAACCTAGTGTGAGATTTGGAGCCAACAATCACCAAGAAAATAATAAAGAAGTGATTTTGATACACTCACATTAATCAAGAAAAAGTATACATAGTATATAATCAAAGACATACACTCACATTAATCAAGAAAAAGTATACATAGTATATAATCAAAGACACCCTTTTTATTCCTACATCTTTAATGGGTAAAATCTCCTTCTCTACTACAATATAATGTCCATACATTCCTGTATTTATATGGATATGAATATAGATATCTATATCTAATTCCCATCCAAAAAGAGAGCAAAAATTGTCAAAAGAATTGGCAAAAATAAGTTGGAGTACTTGTAGATAACTAATGTTCTTCTTCTACACCCAAAGTTCTTATGTCACCATCCCATATTATGCAATATTTTGTTACCATTAATTTCCCTTTTGAGCGTATTATATTATTATGACGGGGTTACGAAATTTTTCAGAATCCTTTCTTCTGCGCCACCAGCATCATCTCTACCAAGTCGAGCTCCTTCTTCACCTCAAAGTCCAGCGCCGCCGGCGCCGCTGCTGCATCCTCCTCCGCCGTCACTTCCGGCTCGTCGTCGAACCTCTTCCCGTCGACCGACAACAGCGGCGCGCAGGGAGGCAGCCCGTCGAGCAGCGAATCGATGTTGCACCCGTCCTGGAAAATCTTGTCATCGAATCCAAAATCAGGGACCTCTTCGTTACCGAAGTCGAAATTGGGTACCAATCTGTCATTTTCATACAAGTCCTCATCCAAGCTGCTTTCCTCCTGCTGCTGCTGCTGTTGATTATTATTGCCACAAGGGCCATTCTCCTGATGATTGTTGTTGTTCTTCTTCTTGGACGTTGATCTCCTGCCGTGAAGGTTACTCGAATTGTCCAAATTCAAGCTCTTGATGTAGTCCTGCAGAATCGATCCGCGCGGGTACTTGGAGCGACATTTTCGCTTCGAGTACTGCCTTCTCTTGGTCGCGTTCCAGTGGTTCTTGATCGAGTTCTCTGTTCTCCCGGGGAGCCTCTTCGCGATCTCCGCCCACTTGTTGCCGATCTCCCCGTGCGATTGTATCAAAACTCTGTCCTCCTCTTCGGTCCACGTATCTTTCTGATCAATCAAAATACACAAAAGGTATAGTAGGAAGAAAGTACTGGTCACCACCACCCCTGTTCCACGGAGTGATGATGATATACTATCTCTAAGCGCGTTTTTTCGATTCGCGCGCGCGGAGGAGAATGATGATATAATTTCCGTTACCTTGATATCGGGCCGGAGATGATTGTGCCATCTCTCTCGACACTGTTTCCCGATTCTCCCAGGAAGCATTTGAGCAATGTGTGACCATTTTCTGATCCCAAATTGTTCCACTAGCTGAACTAACAACCTGAGTAAACAGAGCAATAAGGAAACACAACCAATTGACTAAAAAAACAGAGCATTACCTGATAAAACAATTGAATCTAATGTTGGGTTTTTTTTTGGTGTGTTATTTCTTTGTTATATTACCTGTCTTCATCGACGGTCCATTGACCCTTGACAACGTTGTTCTTCTTCCTGCCTTTCCATGTCTTCTTAGCAGTCGGAGGCAGTCCCAAAGCTCGATTGCTAACCCGATTCGTCAAATGGGTAGTGACAGCATTGCTTCTACTCATTCTGCTCTTGTATCCGTAGTCCGCAATCTGGTTCTGATGATGATGATAAGTTCCACCATTGTCGAGATTAAGACAAGACGACGACGAGAGTTCGTGGGGGATTGAAAACAAAGGCTTCATCTCTTGTGCTCCACCCAAATTCACCATCTGATTGTTGTTATTATTACATGATGATGACGATGACGATCCCATCATCTCAGCAATTGTCACATGATGATTATAATTATTTCGATGAGGGATTGTGACACCAGGGTTATGGAAATTAGTGTCACTATTGATATGATGATCAACAAAGGGCTTGCACTCATACTCATAAAAATCCATGTTTGATGAAGAGGAACCGTAAGGGAAAGCATCAAAACCAGAGGAATCGAAGTTGCAACCGTTGTGGACTACTCTAAACACCTGGTCTTGGTCTTCCTCTTCATCAAGGTTGTGGAATTCTTCGAGGAACCCTTTTGACGATGATGACGGCGGCGGCGGCGGCGGCAGTATTGGCGGTGGCTCATAGTGAAATTCATCATCTTGGTGGTGGTGGGGATTCATGGTGGTGGTGGTGATGTAGTTTTCAGAGAAGAACATTGTTGTTGGTGGTGGTTGTTGGGAGGAAGGGGAGACAAAATCTTGGTCCCTCAAATTGTGATTTTCATAATCCATTGTTTGAAAGGAAGAATTGAAGAGGAATGTTTTTTGTTTTTGGAAATGAAATCAGCAAAGGAAACTGTAAAGGAATGGTATAAATTTTCTTATGGAAGGTTTAATTGAGAGAGGGTAAAAAGAGCAAGAGGGAGGAGAGAGCTAGCTCATCTTAATGTTTATCTTTTTTATTGTGCTCTGTCTTAATAGTGAATTTTTTTGACGAGGGTTCGAAAAAGAAACCACATTTATTATCGTGGTCAATCTCGATCGTTGATTGTGTCTGTGATCGGATGGTTGAGGGTCTTTTTCGATTGTTTAGCACTTGCCCGAATGCGTTTTAGTGAGGTATTAGAGAGGAGGGGCATTTTTGTAAAATGTTAGTGCAGTAATTACTCGCATTTAAATGGGTCAATTTGGAAAATTCAATGGTCAACGAGGGAGTCAAAGATTAGTTTCCTTGTTCATCCTATGAGGGGGCAGAATCATGTCCTTCTCAGGTATCATCCAACATGTATTGACCCCTCCACGTGGCAGTTTTTCGTTGGCTAATGTTGTATTTCTACCAAAATTAATTATAATCAAATTAAGAACCTTAAATCTAGTTGGGTGTTAATTGTTCTCAATGTTTTACTTGTCGTAGGAAATATTTTATTTTTTAAAAGGAAAATTAAAAGGAAGAAAGGAATTCCAGAAGGTGTAAATGAGTATTTAGTTGTCATAGCATTTAGAAACCGATATTTATTGCAAACTGACTATGTAGTAGTAATTAGGGGTTTGTTTTTTATATTAATTTTTTAGTTTTTGCATTGATGTCAAAAGGGTTAAAGGTTTAAAACAAAAAAAATGGTTTGAATAAACACCATAATGACAAAGGTTAGATTAAAAGATAATTAAAAGCCATGTTTAATATAATTCATTAAGTTATGAGCTCTCTTTATAAATTTTTTGATTAATGAAGGTGAAGTAATTAACGTCTCCTCTCGATATCGTTCTTTCTTCTAGAAATATGATAATAATAATAATAATAATAATAATAATAATACCGTTGCTATTTCTTTGTTAATGGAAAGACATTGATATGGACGTTTACAAACTTCACAACATAATTTTGCTTTGTCTGTTGGAAATGAGTAGGGATGACAAAAATATCCATAATCGTGGATATTTTATATTTGTACGAATGCGGCCTAATTAATGAAAAACTTGAATTCGAAGAATTATTAGTAGGTATGAATAACACCCGAATTCAAATATCACAATAGTGAATAGACATGGTTTTATCACTATCTAACCAGAACACGTCCGATTATAAACATGCATATGTATTTTACCTAAGAGTGATCATTATTTTTCTTAAAATATTTGATATTTATTATACATATATAAGGTTATAGGTATAATATGCAATTCTACTATGCATTTTTATCAAACATGTCACTCTACTATTTTTTATCAAACATGCTCCTGTACTTTGAAAAAATTATCAAACCATTATGTTAAAATTTTCATCCAAAAATCGTCAATTACGGTCAAACCATGGTTTGAATGTCCTCGGCAAAATAATAGGGAAAGTGTTCATTTATTTCTCTAAGTTTTATTAAAGTGGAATTATTAGGGGTACGGGGCTACACAAAATATAAAAAAAAAATGTTTAAGTGAAACTATCAGTGTATTTTAGAAATTCACTAAAAAAGTTTCGATGAGACTTGATTGTTTGGCTGAAAAAGCCATCAGGTAAAATATACCTCTCTACTCTGAATTTTTATCATACATGTCCCCCTACTATTTTGTACATCAAACACGCTATTCTTCTAAAATTTCCATCCAAAGGCACAACCACGGTTTGAATCTGCAACCAAAAGTTGCTTCTGCAAAAAATACATCACCACCAAACTAGCCCAATTTTACAACAAAGTCGAACCAGCAAATATGTAAGGTTATAATTCGGTTATGATTCGGCTGTCGTCAAGTAACGCCAAATTTAAGTGAATATCAAACGATAACTAAATCATTTTAAATGTCTGGTGAACCATAACAAAACCCTTTCTATAATACTTGCTAGTAGGGGTGGGCATTGGGTGGGTCGGGTGGATTTTGACCATAAAATGCACCCACCCGCGCTTAAACTGATTGATAATTTTTAACCCACCACCCACCCACGTTTAGTCTCGGGTTGGGTCGGGCGGATGGTGGATGATGCGGGTGGGTTTGTGGGTTCACCCACATCACAATGTATATAATATAAAGGAGTCAACTTGACATGATAATAGGTGAAGAGAATCATCGAGGGAAACAAGAAATTGAAATAGGGCGAAAAATGTCGAATTAGTTCTTAAATTGGATAGAAATTCTATTATGAAAGAGTTTTCTACATATTGAGACGATTATTAGGTGCAAGGAACTAAGGAAAATAATTCCACAAAGGAAAGAGCGGTGATCTAGGCACAAGAATTAGAGGAAAAAATAAAGGGAAGAAGAGGGGATCTCTATTTGGAAGGTTGGCTTTGAGGTTCAAACTCCAGGAGCAGTCCGAGTTTATATCTAACGTCTCCACTCTCCTCTCTCTAGCGCCAACGACTTTGATCTTTTTGCTGTTGGGTTGAGCGGGTCACCCGCACACTCACCCACAACCCACCCACCACCCGGCGGATGGCTCCTAGCGCAACCCGTCACCCACCCACAGACCCACCCACTTAACGAAATTCGGGTCAAATGCGGGTGGGTCGGCCCAAATCCGCGGATGATCCGTCCGCATGCCCAGCCCTACTTGCTAGTCTAGTTAACTAAGCTAAAATGTGAAGTTCACATTTTCGTCAACCTCATGCGTCAAATGAACAATAACTCGTCTCAAAATAGGCGAAATACGTCAGTTCGGAAAGAGAAGACAGAGATGCTCACCAAAATGCGACGGAAGGGAAAAGTGGTGTGAATGTGCTCATCTGATAAAAAAAGCTACAGCAGTCACTAAAAGCAGAGGTGCTCTCGCAGTCGCAGCTGCCATGGAAATGGAAGGAACGAGGCCTGGGGTGCAAAAGTCATAAAATCATCACCTCGTGCTAATGTCGACTCTGTTTCTTCACCTCTTCCTCTTTTTACTCCACATAATCCTCTTATCCCGCCTTCTTCTTCCCCGGTGGATCCAGACCAAACTCCGCCACCATCTCTTCGCAACTCCTCCTCCTTCGTCCGCCACCTCTTCTTCTCCGGCGGCGTTCGATTCAGTTGAACCAGTCCCCAAAACCGGCAAAAATCCGTTTCCTCTCACTCTCCTGCCCAAGTACGACGTGTTCATCAGTTTCAGAGGGGAGGATGTTCGAGACACCTTCCTGAGCCATCTCTACTCTCATCTGAGCGACAACAAGAAGGTCTGCGCCTACAAAGACGACAGGGATTTGGGAAGAGGAGAGCAGATCTCTGCGTCTCTGGTGGAAGCAATCGAGAGATCCACGGTCTACTTGGTGATTTTCTCCCCCAATTACGCCAACTCCAGATGGTGCTTGGAGGAGCTCGTCAAGATCCTCGACTGCAGCCGACGGTACGGGCGGAAGGTGATTCCGGTGTTTTACGGCGGGTCGGATCCCTCCCAGGTCCGAAATCAAACCGGGAGCTATGCCGATGCCTTCGCTCGACGGTACCGAAATCTGCCGGTGGAGAAAGTCCATGGGTGGAGAGCGGCGCTCCGGGAAGCGGCCAACATTTCCGGGTTCGACTCACGGATCACCAGGTTTAGCCCCTAATCCTGTGAAAACTCAGAAGAACCCTTATTAGATTTGTTTGAGCTATGAAACCCTCTTGCCTCTTGCTAAGAATTGTAGTTATTGAAGCCCCATTGAACCCATTTTCGAGATAATTTTAAGTGAAGGTTACCTGCCAATGAAAAAGGTTCAAGTAATTGCATTTGACAGGCCGGAAACTGATCTCATCAAGGAAATCTCAAAAGCTGTGGTTGAGAGGATGCACAGTCAAATGATGCTGCCATCAAATGCTACATATGGTTTGGTAGGAGTAGAGAAAAGCATGAGAGCAATTGGGTTGTCATTGTGCATTGAGACGGAAGCTAACTGGACGATAGGACTGTGTGGAATGGGTGGCATCGGGAAGACGACTCTCGCGAAAGCTATATACGACCAATTCTCCAATCAATTTGAAGCTTCATGTTTTGTCAGTAATTTTGCGGACCACCTAAGTAGGTTACCGCAGTTGTTTGATGGTCTACAAAATGAACTGTTCTCGAGGTTGTTGCCAAACGAGAATGGGTATAGCATACCTGCTAGTTTCAAGCTCAACCGCCTCCGCCGGATAAAGGCTCTCATTGTCATCGACGACGTGGACAACATTAAGCAGTTGGAGGATCTATTTGATAGACGATATTGTGATTTATTTGGACCCGGGAGTAGAATTCTTTTAACTAGTAGGAACAAGCAGCTCCTTAAGAACGTGTGTCATCAAATATATGTAGTTAATCCTTTGGATGACAATGAATCTCTTCAACTTTTCTGCTTACATGCCTTCAAGGAAGATCATCCACCACCTGGATATTTATGGGCCTCCAATCTAGCTATAACCTATGCAAGTGGCAACCCGTTAGCTCTTAAAGTTCTAGGCTCAAATTTGTATGGTCGAAACAAGGAGTTTTGGGACTGTGAATTGAACATGTTGCGAAACAGACCCGATGAAGACGTCAAGAATGTTGTCTTGAGGAGGAGTTATGATGGTTTAAACGAAGTGGAGAAAAGTGCATACCTTGATATTGCCTGCTTCTACGACCCATGGGGTAGTACATATGATATGTTGGGGAAATTTGAGGAGAAAGTATTAGATGGATGTTATGCAGAATATGGTGGGTCTTGTAACCTCGTTACTAAGCTCGTGGATAAGTCTCTTTTAAGTATTGGTGATTCTCTTGGAATACAAATGCACAGATTGCTTCAAGATCTGGGTCGCAACATCGTCAATGAAGAGCGAAGTGTTGGAAAACGTTCTAGGTTGTGGGAAGCTAAAGATATATATAATTTGCTCATCCAGAAGAAGGCAAGTGTGAAAACAACTTATCATCCCTAGATGGGTGAGGCTCTTGACACTTATTGTTAAGCTTGTTTATCAGTTTGGTAATTGTTTGTGTTAAACAGGGGAGTGAATCTGTCGAAGTCATCGTTTGGAATCTATGTGAAATGCAGTATGAGGCTGGCGAAATATGTGTGGACTCTGATGCTTTTCGGAACTTGGAAAATCTTAGGATACTAGCAATTTACAACTATGATGCTCTGCCAGAACTGGTACTTCCCGAGGATGGGCTGGAATGTTTGCCAGAAACGTTGAGGTGCCTTTACTGGGATTTCTTCCCTTCAAGATGGTTCGGATCTAAATTCTCTCCTCAGAATCTTGTTTCACTTGATTTGCGCCATAGTAACATTGAGCAACTATGGGAAGGAGCACATAATGTGGTAAGTAAATTTGCAGTGACAGTATGGATTGTCTCTATTGTTTTTCTTCTATCTTTTCTGGGAAATGAGCAAAATACTTGATATCTTTCACGTACATAGTTGACCTTGCAGTTATTTACATTGATTTGTAGGATCTGGGAAATTTGAAGTACCTTAATTTAAGGGAATCCCAACACCTGAGCAAGTTGCCTAGTTTTTCCACGGCGAAGAAACTTGAGTGGATCGATTTGGAGTACTGTGAAAGCTTAGTTGAGCTTCCCCTGTCAATTTTCTATCTTCCCAGGCTGGAAGTCCTCCTTCTAAGGTATTGTACAAGTCTGAATCTGACTGACCTGGTGGGTCGTTACAGAGAAGAAATTGGCTCCCAGATCTTACCAAATCTGAAAAAATTAGACATAACTGGGACAGCAACCCAAAAGATTCCCGATTTTTTCTGCCACTCCCAAATTGTGGAGCTTCATTGTGACAATTGTCCAGACATGACAGAATTTCCAGTCATCCCAAGCGTCAAAGCCTTGAGCTTGAGTGGAACCTTGATCCAAGGACCGATCGAGGTTGAGTTTCTTTACGGGTTGAAGGAATTGACCTGTACAGATAACCGCCATCTACTTTGTCTCTCGAATGGCTTCTGTGACTTGAAATCGCTTGAAAGAATCGATCTAAGTGGGTGCAGCCAGCTAAAGGAGTTCCCAGATATCATGGAACCTATGGGAGCTTTGTTGAGCGTTCGTTTGACTGGTTGCAGCAATCTGTCAACTCTTCCTGACAGCATATGTAATCTGACACACTTGGGAGAGCTTGATCTGCAGAATTCAGGAATTACAGAGCTTCCGTCCTCCATCGGAGATCTGATACACTTGTGGCACTTGGGACTTGCGTGTTGTACAAGTCTCACAACCCTTCCAAACACCATCCACAAGCTGTGCAAATTGGTTCGGCTCGACTTGTCAAACTGCATTCTACTGACTCAGTTACCTGAGCTCCCTTCATCCTTGGAACATCTGAATGCACACGGGTGCAGGTCGCTTCGGACGGTGTCGTGCATAGAGAAACACAACCTCTGCACTGGTAAGTGGAGCTTTGGCAACTGTCCCGAGCTCGATCCAAAATCTTTCAGGGAGCTTGTAGCCAAGGTAGCTGTCTCTCTCGCTCGCTATCTCGTATTTTTTGGTTCGTTATCTCCGTACAATCCAGTCCACATTGTTTTTTTTACTGTTTGTTGCTCCATTTTTTTCATTGGACCAGTTTACCCGTGATGTTGAAGAATGTCATTTGAGAGTTCCCCAGAAGCCAACTATTATACTTCCAGCAGAAGGTGCTATGGGGGAAGCAAGGAGATCTTCGGTGTTGGTGGAGCTGCGGCAGACTTGGAGGCTGAAGGGCCTAATTTACTGGGCTCTCCTCGACTTCTCCTGCCTTGTCAATATAGCTTCCGCCGGCGTCTATCGCGGGCATACACTTCCCGGGAAGTACCACGTGGACTGCTCTATCCGCAACGGTGGTGTGGACGGCGGCAGGGAAGATATCGTCAGCCGGTGTGAGTTGGAAGCAGCGGTGGATGACCTTGCCGGAGGAGATGGGAACCGCCTGCTGATAATGTGGTATGAAGATGGCTTTAACGGGATCAGCTTTGAAGGTGGCGAAGATGAGAATACGACCATCTTTGTTGAGTTCTTCTTTCGCGCTGGCTTTCCCGTCCGTTCGAAGCGGATGGAAATGTCGAACCCGATCATGAGTTGTGGTGTACTATGGCAGGTATACGACGACAGAGTGACGTATTTGAGCTAACTTGTTCACTCTTTGATTCAGCCTACTTCAATCTTCTTGGGATATATTCATGCTCGTGAGGTTTCGATATACAAGCTTAAAATGATTCGTTGATATGTCGCAAAAAAGTTGTTAAGCTTGTATATCGTGAGTAGCATACTCGGTGAAAGAACTCCCACTAGTCTCTTTGTTTTGGTGATCCGGGGATTTCCTAGGCACAAGGTCTCGTCATAGCTAGAGCAATCGTTGATTTACATTTACAACAATGCAACCAAGACTTCTTTTCACGCCATGCATTGAACATTTGATACAAGGTACATGTATGCACGATTTCTCGTCATGCCATATGCAATGATTGATGTAAGCAAGTAAGAGTGATAAATCACAAGTCCGAACTTAACATAGATATACGACAACAGAGTGACGTATTTGAACTAACTTGTTCACTCTTTGATTCAGCCTACTTCATTCTTGGGATATCGTGGGATTTTGACATGTGACAGGAGTAATTGAACTAACTTGCTCACGATTAGTTGATATGTCACAAGAAAGTTGTTAAACTTGTATATCTTGAGTAGCATACTCGGTGAAAGAACTCGAGTAGTCTCTTATTTTGGTGATCCAGTGATTTATTAGGCGCAAGGTTTTGCCATACCTAGAGCAATCATCTATTTACATTTGCAACAATGCAAACACGACTTCTCGTCATGCCATGCATTGAACATTGATACAAATCACATGTATGCGCGATTTCTTGTCATGCCATGTACGATGATTGATGTAAGCAAGTAAGAGTGATAACTCACAAGTCCGATCTTGGCATAGATATATTACTAGCTAAAGAAAGTATGGATGCACATAGGATTCACCCTCGAAACAACGAGGTGTGCTTAACTCAACATAAAGAGAGAGTGTGCTGACATGGTGTTGACTGATTTATTGTGAGACTAAACTACTAGAGTTTAAACTCCCAAATTAAATTGCAGTTCACCTCAAAACGGTGGCGATACCCTCGTTGATGGAGCGGGAGGACGATCATTAGTGCAACTTAGATGCAAAATGAGTAATAACCAATGCAATAAAAAGAATTAATGACAAACATGAAACAAATTAATGAACTAGCTGATCAAACATGTCATTTAACCGAGTTATATATAGTATTTCACGGGGTGAGATATCGTCACTTCCCTTTTGAGGGTTGTGAGATCCGCTGCCTACCTTCTAGTCATTAGATTCATTATCACTCCTTTTTTTTTTTGAATGGAAGGAGATTAATCAAAGGGTATTTTTGGACGAAAAAATAATCACATTAGATTTCTCTCCCCTAATAACTCTACATATTCCTCTCCTCTCTCTTCCTCTAACCCTAACAGATTCATCCTACTCTCATCGTTCTGCTGCCACCACCATCCTCTCCTCCTGTCGTCGCCGCTGCCCCCTTCCCTCTCCTCATCTCCTCCGCCCCCTCACACCGCCGCCGCTGCCCCCTACGCAGCTCTCCCTCCCCCTCCACCCCTATCGCGCCCTCCGTCTCCCCCTTCCTCCGCCTCCCACCACCATGCCACGAGGTCCCCGTCGCAAGGTCACAACCTCCCCTTTTCCTCATCCTTTTTTTTTCTTCATATTTGTGATTTTCGAATTTCATATCTGTTTTTTTTTTGTGTGTGTTAGTCTCTAGTGATAGTGATTTTCATCTGGTACCATACCACTATATCACTGGTAGTAGCGCTACCACTAGACGAAAATCATACCACTAGCGCACTAATGGAGTGGTAATTTCTTTCAGGTGGCCGAAGCAAGTCTGATTCAAGGATTTCGCTGGAGAAAGTTTGTCGGTCAGAAAGTCAGCCGGTCGGAGTGGAGTGGATGGTGGAAAAGGAAGAGAGAGAAATGTATTTTTGGTATGATTTAAATTTACAAATAAATCAATGTATTTAATATGGATTTTGAATTTCCAAAATGTAATTAATACAAAAGAAAAGTAATTAATAATATTCTTTTTTGGGCTACTCAATTTGCCTTTGGTTGTGAAACTCACAACCCTTTGAGGGAAGTGATGGTATCCGTCCCATATTTTTCTGTAGTGGTGGTCACTATGATAACCAAGGACAAAGTGAGTATGAAAAATAAATCTTTATTAATTAGGGTCGTTTGGAAGTTATGTTTTTAAATAAATGATTCTTTGAATTCATGTATTCTGGAGAATCCATCATTTTTTTTTCTTCCAAAACTCGATTCAATACATGCATTTGAGGTGAGCTCTCAAATCGCATATCACCCACAATCACTCATTTTAAATCTCAACAAAATGTGAGATTCTTCCTTTGAGATTGTGGGCTTTAATTTGTTGCACTTTTAGCTCATAAAGTGATTCTTTCTTTTCTTTAAAAATTTTGAATGACTACAAACAACTGAACAAAACATTTTTCCAATCATATAATTATTACGATCTTTGTATTTACAAAACATGTATTCATCAAATACACATATTTGAAAAAATCTCAACTAACAAACGACCCCTAAACTTTTCTAGTAAATTACATTTAAGGAAGTTACAAATACATATTAATTACATTATTCTCTCTCCCAAATCCCCTTCTTTCACTCTCTATCACTTCTGCTTCTTCGACCACCTCTCCATCGTTTTCTTCTCAATTCTTTTGTCTCCGATTAGATGAACAAATACTAGTTGAAATGAACCCGTACCTGTCCAAACGTACCAATACCACTTCAAATAAATCAATACCATTACAAAAATAACACAACCGTACCCAATCAATTAAAAACACTAACCTTTAAAACAAATCAATACTAGTTCAAACTTCAAACCAACCAATACCATAATACAAAACTCGAATGTGAGTTTTAAAACAAGAAATCAAGGTTGTCAACCCGCGGGTCGACCCACTTTGACCCTGACCCGGTGAGAAAAACGGGCCGCACGCACCCATCGGGCCGACCGCTACAAGGTAACGGGTTGGAGGTCAAATTGTGTCATTTTTTCTTTGGTTTGCGAAATGCGCCTATTTTCCGATTTTTCTTTTCGCCTAGCTCAATTTTTGGAATGCTAAGTTGAACATTTGAATATTTATGTTATATAAGTGTGTGTGAATTTTCACTATATGTTGGATCTATATACGATATGTTATTTTGGTGTAATATTATATGTTATAACTCATATGTTATATAAGATTTGATATAATTTATGAGGATAAGTACAATATAATGACTTTTTCCATATTTCCGCGCCAAACCGGACTAAAACGGTTGACCCATTAACCCTTGACCCACTAGCTCGATCGAGTCCGCGTCAATCCGTGGGTTGACAACCTTGCAAGAAATCAATGTCAAATCATAAAAACACTATATATGGTCAATTATAGGCGTTAAATGCTATATGCATGAACGCTCTCCCGTGAAATGTTTCTTGTTTTGATCATTTGCGTAGTAGAAAACTTGAAACAAAAGCGGGAAGACGAATGAATTTGCTGTCCACGAAGATGATGGCATAACTCAACATTTTCACATGGCATTGGGCGAACGTCGACAGCCGCTGCGTCACAATTTGGAGCATTTACGCTCGCCTGGCTGACCGAGGCTACCTGCGATACCATGTACCAACCAGGAGGAGCACGCACAAACGTTCCGTTTGCTAGCTACCACCGCCCCGCAACCAGAACAGAAGAGAACAGAATTGCAGGCTGGACACAATGAGGCCGCAGATCGTGCTGTTTGGCGATTCAATCACGGAGCAGTCTTTCAGATCAGGCGGCTGGGGTGCTTCCCTCGCCGACACTTACTCTCGCAAGGTAAACCCTAGCTGAGTTTTTCCCCCATTCCTGTTTCCTTGTGTTTGGGTTTCTGATTACGCCCATTGATCGAACACTTGCAGGCTGATGTCTTCAATCGTGGCTATGGCGGGTACAACACCAGATGGGCTTTGTTTTTGCTGCATCACCTCTTCCCTCTCGTAATTTCTCCATCTTTTCTTAATATGGGTGATTGGGGTTTCGGCAAATCCTGGGTGGGTGTCTGTTTCTGATTGGCTTTTCTTGTTTCGTTTTGTTTGAGCTGGGGGGTAGGATTTGAGAAAGGCTCCTCCTGTTGCGGCCACTGTCTTCTTTGGGGCTAATGATGCGGCTCTGTTGGGCAGAACTAGCGAAAAGCAACATGTTCCCTTGGATGAATATAAGGAGAACCTCAGGAAGATTGTCAAGCATTTGAAGGTTGGTTTTCTTTCTTTCTGAAATTCTGGTGCTTTCAGTTTCCAAGATTGTAGATCTTCGGGAATTTGAACTGTAGTGCAAAGTAAGATTAGCTGTTGGGTATATATAATATCCTATGATAAAGTTCACAAGTTACTAGCCAAAAACCAGTTCCTTTATTCTGTTCTCAAGACGAATTAACTAGGGATCATGCAGTGTTGCTACTTGCGAGCTTTGTGCCTTATATTTTCTTGTTTAAGGTATAACTCTTCTGATCTGATTACCCTAACCGGATCTGAAACTGCACTATGTCGGATCTTGTCTCATTGACATTGGCGACCATTGTTAATTTAGCATGGAATAGATCGATCACTATAAACAATGAGAAACTATGTGATCTCCTAGAGTAAGGGTAGCTTCCAATAGTTCTCGAACAAAATTTTCACTTATCTTGCAGAAACAACTTTCTAGTCCTGAAATTGACCCTATCTGCATAGAGAAGCTAGTAGGGATTTGCATCACCATTGCAATTACAGTCTACTGGAACTGTTGTCCTTCAAACTTAAGTGATTGGCTTCATTAGTCATCCATGATAGCAGTTGGACATTTACACATTGGCTTTGTTTCTCTTCTGTGATGTTGGATGGCACAAAGCAACCCTTATCTGGTACTTAGTTCTTATTCTCTCTGCTTATTTATTGTTAACCATGCAATGTGTACTAATGAATCAGTTAAACGAAGTTCGATTACATACTGCTACCAGTGAATGCAGAGAGTTTTTCCCCCCAACAGATGGAAATTTTATGTGCAGGAATCTTCACCTGCCATGCTGGTCGTGCTTATTACTCCACCACCAGTAGATGAGCCAGGGCGTAAAGCATATGCCAAGTACGTTATTTCCTCTTTCCATCCTATATTTACAGGCAGGTTCTCATTATGATTTTCCCTTTCAGTTGATGTTAGTTCTCCTCTTAGCTTCACTTGAAAGCCAAGCTCCATAGAATTGTAGAGACATTGGACACGTAGGATTCTAGAAACCAAGTTAAACAGAAACCAAGGTTGTAAATAAAATTGAAGGCATACACTAGATATGTCTTTACATGCTAGACAATCCTCCCCTCTTGCCGTTCCATTTGATGATCTCTGAGTTTTATATTCACTCTTGGAGATCACTGCTAGTAGTTTATTTGCTAAGCGATCATGTCTCCTAGAATAGTAGGTGCTGGAGACTGTTTCCTTACTAGTCTCCTTCAGATGTCCCAACAAGTGTTTGTTTCCCTTTTTTGCATGGAGCAACCCTCTGCCTATATATCCTCATATCATCTTAGAGGCAGATTTGTAGGTTCTCTTATTTCTAGGTTAACAGTGGTGCTGTGATCTGTTCTAAATGACATGTAATCTCACATGTCCAGATCAGTATATGGTGAGAAAGCTATGGAATTCCCCGAGAGGACAAATGACATGGCTGGAGTTTATGCTTGGCAATGTGTGGATTTGGCCAAGGAACTGGGTGTGTGGTCCATTAATCTATGGTCCAAGATGCAGGAAACTGATGGCTGGCAGCAAAAATACCTGAGGTTATAATATTAGTTACACAGTTACCCTTCAACCCACCATTTTGTTTTGCAAATGGAATCAAGATGTTCCATCTGGATTGAGGCACACTAACCAACCTGAGTTTCATTCTGCAGTGATGGTCTACACCTGACACCGGAAGGAAATGCAGTGGTGTTCGAGGAAGTAGTAAACGTGTTCAGTGAAGCGTGGCTATCTCCTGCAGAAATGCCATTGGATTTCCCTCACCATTCTGAAATTGAAGGGGAAGACCCCGAGAAAGCTTTCCAATATCTGTGCTTGTAGCTTTGAGGAGGCTTGTATCTATTTTTCCTCAAGAGGATCGATCGCTTGGTTGGTTTGCTGCTGGATTTGAAGGCCCTCATTGGCATATCGTCCCATGACATACTGTCATGGTTGGAAGAAATTGGAGTCACAACTCCTGAAGTGTTTAATCTTTTAGCATACAGATAGCAAAGTAAATCCGATATGGTAAAACATGGTGAGCAGAGTTCAACTCAAGTATCTTTCTATTTTGGAAGTTCCCTACTTGATCATATCGCATTATCCTATGCTTCAAAACCAAACTAATTCCATATTGAACCAATTGTATTGACAATAATGAGAATTGGTCTTTTCGATTATATGTTAATATACGAAATTTTATCTATCATTAGAAAATTTTGTGGTTAGTGGTTGATAATTATCCATAGTAAAAAATTGTGACCAGTGTGGTTAGTTGATCATAATTCATATCAACTAACCTTTTCAGTTGGTCAAGATATCTGAATGGTGAGATTAAAAGGATATGCTGTCTTGATGTCATGAATCTAAACCTACTAATAGAGGAAGCTTCAACAAAATCGTGACAAGATTTCGATTAGGAGCCTAAACCTCTTTAATGAATGAATTGCTTGTTTGCTTGTTCCCCACTAAGCATCAAGATAAGCCACTTGCTAAAACCCATCAGATTTGAATCTCTCAAGTTGGTTAAAGTAGATTTCCCACTCTCTAAACCATGCTTGCTAGTTAGTGCCATAATCCCAGGGTAACCAACTTGCTCCATACAGAGCTGTTATGATATGCATGCATCCATTCATTCATGAATGTGTGCCCTCTGCCCACAAACTTACAACTAAGATATAACCTAACAACAACACTGAAAGACAGACACCCATGGAATGGAATTCAACTTAAAGCTTGGAACCAATGAGATAAACAAGCACACACCCAAGTTCTTCGATACACATTACAAAAAGGAAAAGACCTCTCGAGCTCTAGATCAGTTAAACGGATGAACCAGGGGTGCCCTGACCAAGGCTAGATGGTCCTGGCCCTGGCCCGGGGCTTGGAGTTCTCTTCACTTCAACACCCTTCCCTCCATGCCTTGGGCTCCATTCTGACTTCAGCTCGACGACACGTGGGCTGTGTCGTCTCTGTGACAACCCCGGGCTAAATGCAGGCTTGATATCCTCCAACGATCCTGGAGTTGAACTAGTCAGCTTGGGACTCTGTGTGCGTCGGAACTCACCTCGACTCCTTGTGATCATCTCATCCAGAACTTCCCCGCTGTCGATTTCAGGCGTTCTGGTTTGACCAAGTTGTTCCTGGATCACATAAACTCATCATCATCATCATCATGTTAAGGCCTTTGCCATAAATATTCCTATAAGTGAGCATAGAGTAGAGAGAAACAACACTGACCTCAAATGCCATGTTGTAGGAGACGGCAGGAGCTTCTTCATAGTCAGCAGCATCCAAATCCTGAAGGTGGGCTCCTTTGAAGAACTTGGGCAGTAGATACTGACGCACGGGGACTAAAAGCATGATGAGGAGTGGGAAAAGGACTCCAGCAATGGGGATCCACGTCAACCCAAAGCATACAAGTAGATAGGCTGTCTGGAACAAGGTGAACCCAGCAATTGTCTTGAACGGCACTGTTTCGATGAAGGTTGCATGACTGTCCTCCAGCACCCTGTGGCAGGTTAAATGACAGTCAGGATTGACCAGATATGGGCCGCAAAGAAGGATGATGAAACATGAACATGGGGTAACTCACTTGTATCTACGGCTGGGAGCAGTGAAGAGCAACAAGATTCTCTCCCAGAATTGGTTTCCGGGCAAGCTCTCGATGGCCATGAAAGCAAAGTATCCCCAAAGGACTGAAGTTGGGATCTTTTTAAGGAGAGGCATGGCAGCAACACATGTGCCAACCATTAGAGCTTGAAGCAGGTTGCTCAGGCGTTGTTCCTTGACCTCGACGGGCAAGAGATCATCAACATCTTTGTTAACATCAAAGACAGTCTCGTCAACTGGAGCATCAATGTAGCCAGTGCTTGAAGACAATTGGATGGTGGATTCTTTCAGCTCTTTCAATCCCTGTCAGCAGCAGTGAAGTCAAGCCAGGAGCAAAAAAATAAGGAAAGATGATTTATGTCCTACAAAGGTAAAAAGGTACCAGGCCAGATGGTTGTTGATAGACCAATGGAGTCTGCATCCCATTGTATGCCTCCTGCATGTTCCGGTATAACTGACCGAGGTTTGAGTTTTTCCTGATGCTTTCCCGAGCTGTTGACACGAGCTTGTTCCTCAAAAGCTGTGAACAAGAGAAAATGAATGTCATCCTGAACGAAGAGGATGTAGGGACCATTTGATAAGTAGTAAATTCAGTATACTGCATGCAACCTGAGTATTACCTGCTGTTTCAGGGTAGCCAGACTCTTAGTATGCATTGGAGACTGTGGGATAACACCATTTGAAGGTGGGATGCCAAGTAGCCCACATATTATGACCTGATCAAGTAAAAATCCGACAAACATTACATTCTTCTGATCTACGAGTTGCATCGGGAGGAAGAATTCGTATATCTTAGAGGAATAAGGTTGTACCAAAACTCCCAAAAGAAGGAGGTCATAATGATAGGAAGCTGGTTTCTTCAAATTGAACTCCTCCTGTTGAGCAAGCTGAGAAGCAACACTGTGATCAAAGTAGTACAGCACTGCAATCATGGTTGCAGGAATGAAAGCCCCAACGATATACAAGGGTGGCACATGCATCATTTCCTGCCAAGAGCAAAGCAAAGTATGAAAAACTTTTATGGCATTGAGAAGCTTTGCAGAGTCGAGCTCTATGATATCAGTGCTAAAGTTCACCTTGATAACTGTCCAATTAGAATATGCACCAGGAGACCATGGATTTGGACTGAAGAGACGCCTAGGGATTCCTGCTGGAACATCTCTAACTGGTATGTAAGATAGGCCAGTCCATACAACAACCAAGATTGGAACTCCATAATCTGCAATAAGTCCTCTCAACCAGCCTTCAAAGAAAGATTGGAAATAAGTTAAACCTTTACGTTAAAAGAGATTAGATGCATTGTGAAGCTTCTCTGACTTTCAAAAAAGATAATGAATAGACAAAAAGCGTCAACTAGATATCAAGAACAACACCATTATCCATAACATTGCGCTTTGTTAAAAAACTCTATAGAATTTAGTACGGTGTACCTGTTCCATAGCGCCATGACCTGGCTTTACGACTCTTTAGTGCAGTCAGAAGAAGACCAAAAGATAGGACCAAAGCAAACATTCCATTCCCAAAACGCCAAGCAGGCTGCAGTGCAGTTTCACGAGGGTTTTCTCTCTCAGGTAAGCCAAACTCTTCAACAACTCCCTGCAGGATGAAGTTCACAATTAGAATGGTGCTACAATTGGTATTAACTTCTTTATTATGTCGAACACTTCATTTTATCATTGGAGCAAGTCATCTGACTCAGCAAGAAATACTTACTCTTATGGCCTGCTGCATAAAGAGCATTGCAATAAGTAGACCAAATAATTCACCAGCAACCCTAGTAAATCTGTTGATTATAGAGCAAGCGCCCAATACTGCCAACAAGAAAAGCAGGAGAGCAGTCCACATGCAGACCCTAAGAACCAATGCAAGTGAAAACGGAGAACTCCATTACAGCAAGAAAAATAGTCAATAAACCACCATTTCAGTAGAAAAGTGGAAATGGATTGATTCAGTTATACCATCCTGTCCAGGCTAAGAAGAGGTTTGGCCCCAAATCCTTCCGGTCCTTAGCAAAGTTGAACATGAATGTGTACATTAACACTGTTGGCTCAGCTACTCCAAGTATGAGCAATGGCTGTCCCCCAATAATTGAGTGAATGAACCCACAAAGTGCTGTTGATGCCAAAGTTTGCACTGCAGTCAAAGCTCCTTCTGTATATCTCAAAGCAGAGTTTTTTTTTTTTTTTTTTGTTAGGGAGAAGACCAATAACTGGAAAACTGGTAGCCAATATAGCAATGAGTGTATACCTGTATTTCTTTCAAGCTGCTCTCCAAAAGATATGACCGGTATTGCTGAAGCGAAGAAAATGTAAGTTGTTGGAGCGAGGATCCTGAATGAAACAAGACAATGAGAAACATTCTAACATTAGTTCTGAACTAAAGATTTACTAGCATCCTGAAATTTCACATGAATAATGTTCCTCAAATGAATGGACCTTCAGAAAGTTCACCTTATACCAGCACGGAGGCCGCCCGTCCAATCTTGTTTGTAGCACAAAAGCCTTCCATTGAGGTCATTTTTTATACCACGGAATGGAACAAATGTCTCCTCCATTGAAACTCAAGGTTTGATCACAAGGAAATATGCAATGTCTTTTTGTGCCCACAATCTCTATGCCCAACAAAGATGAACCAGACTCAACCAAGACTAGGACTCGAGAGGCCAACAAAGAAACTAAATTTGCATAAAGAAGAAGATTAACATGAAGCCATGGGCGGAAGGACAATAAGAACGAAGTTCAGGGTCTTAGGAGGGAGGCAATCAAAAAAACGACCCATGATTATTTGTGTGGAATCCTGTATGTGTATAGTTTAAAATTCTAGAAGATCTTACAGTTGATATGCGTATATAAAGAAATGAATGTTTAAAAGTATGTCCACTGTGAAGAACAAAAGAATCGATTAGCAGTGATCAAATCACTTTCAGCTAAACAAGGAAAAAAGCAAGAAGATTTTAGCGCACTGAAACCATGATAAGACAGAACAGTCTGAACTAACGGAAAGAACAGATGTTCTCCATTTGCCCTGTCTGTTACTAGCGGTTGACTTCAATGAGATTGAGATCCATTGAGCACCTAATTTTTTTCACTTCACCATTCGGAAAGACTTTCCGTCTATCAGAGACTGAAGAACAAAGCAGCTTTGAGAGATTAAGGATTTACATGTCAGAATTTCAAATAACTAAAAAGCCCCTTTGTTAAACTTCAAAAGTAATGAAGCTTAGGAAGACAGCAGAACAGCCAAACTTAACGAACCACCATAATCAGAACCAGCATTTTGCAGACTTTCTGAACTATTTACACCAAATGGGCATGAACCAAAAAGAAGCCACAATTTGTAGAGGGGGGCTAAACCGGGAAGATTTAACGACAGCCCATGACTTGAAATCAGCAGGACAAGCGGATTCAAAGCACTTTGAAGCAAATGGGCATTAACCCAGAAGAGAAAAGAAACAAAAGAGAGCAACTTTAATCGAGATTACATTATTCAGAAGAGAACACCCTCTTTGACGCAAAAACACAAACACTTGGAAGACCAGAAGAAGCGGAGTTTACATATATGGGGGGCAAGGGAGAAAAGAGCCAAAGAGA